ATACTTTTGTGAGTTCTGTTACAAGGGAGTATAAGAAGTAGGGCATTGACTGGTGGGAAAAGTGGGATTAAAAGAAGTTTTGTTTTGTCTTTTAAGACGGGAGAAAAAAAAGATATATGTATCCTGATGGGAATGATCCCATAGAGATCAAAAACTTGACAGATAAAGGAAAAGGAAGAATTGCTGAAGGGGTGTCTTGAGTAAAGGAAAAAGGATGAGATTTAATATGCAACTGAAATTACTGGTTTTAGATAGGAGCAGGGAACGTTTACATTGGTAATAGACGAGAAGGTAGAATATGTGGGTATAAATGCTGGCTGATTAAGTGTGTGTTGGTGTAAATTTGTGGAAGTTTTCTTTTGACTGCTTCAGTTTTCTCAGTGAAGTAGGAAGTAAGGTCACTGGCTGGGAGTGAAGATGCAGCAAGAGATATTGGGGGATTGTGGTAGGGGTGATTCTTGGATGGCCCCATGGTCTCTGTCCCTTGGTTCTATGCCTTGTATAACCCCTTCCATTTGATTTTGGGTGGAAATTGTGACTTGATTCTAATCAACAGAATATGGCAAAAGGATGGATTGTCACTACTGTGACTAAGTTATGTTGTACGGCAAAGGAGGTGAGAAGTCATCCCTGTGATTATGCTCAATACATAAGACTTCATCTTGCTGGCACACACTGGAGAGAGATTCTCCTGCGGCTTTGCAAGAAGCAAAGAGCCATGCTGTGAAGTGCCTGCAGAGAGGGTCACACGGCAGGGAACTTGGACAGCCTTTAAAATCTGAGGGCTGCCTCTTGCCAACAGCCAATAAGAAGCTGGGGCCCTCAGTCACATAGCTCCAAGGAACTAAATGCTGCCATCAAGTTGGATGAACTTAAGAGCAGATTAGTTTCTAGTCGAGCCTCTAGATGAGAATCCACCCCTGCCATCCTGTGAGACTACGAGCAGAGGACTCAGCTAAGCGGTGTCTGGACTCTTCACCCATGGAAACGATAAGATAATAAATATGTGTTGTTTAAGCCACTAAGTTTGTGGTCATTTATTACACAGCAATAGAAAACTAATACAGGGGTTGAAAGAAGAGAACTTATGAAATAGTCATCTAGAGAGTAAAAAAGTGAATGGGGTTTTGATTGTTTGACAGAATTGGGTCCATTTGAGATCTGTGGTCATGAATTTAAAGTGAGACCAGTGAGTTTTATTAGTGTTTTTCTGTAACCATAGCAAGGGTGCTATATATGAGTTACTTATTTTCATTTGTTTTATATATTCTGATATATAATTTCAAATTTATCAGCAAATAAATAAATGTCTATACAGCACATATTTCTGAAATCACTTTTTTCCCTTTTTCTTTTCCTGAAATTTGAGAAGAATCCCAGGAGCACTAACAACCAGGAACCTAAAATTAAGGCTGGGATTTAATTTTTGGCACCACTGACTGATTAACAAAACTATTTTGTTAAATCTTGAAGTGATTTAAAAATTTAATATCAATAACTTAGAACTGATCAAACCCAACTGATTGTTTTTTTAAGTTTAAACACATTGCTTGAAGAATCTATTTCTATTTATTATATCTTTATATTTGCTTCATATTTAAAATTCCATATGTACAAAATTTCAAACTTGCACCTTGCAATATGCAACACATGCAAAAAAAGTATAAGTTGTAAAACTACTAGCCCTACTAACTTTTCTTTCTCAGTACGGAGATAATAGTAATTTGATTTATTAATTAAATAACAAGTAACTTAGTACTCTCACTAGAGAAGGAAATAATGTAGAGTAGTTTAAGCTATCTTAAAAAGCATACAGAGACTGATTACAGAAATATTTTAGAGTTGAAAAAGCAGTAAAACTAGTATTTTAGAATCTTTAAAGATAAAACTCAAAACAGTTTTAATAAGCTGTATGCTGTATTATTTACCATCTTAAAGAATCTTTCTTTTTCATTATCACTTGGAAGATACTTAAGAAAAAAAATAAACATAACATTTATATGGTGAATAGTACATTCAAGATACTATACTGTTCTAAGACTAGTTAATGAATTTATTTCTTACTTCAACCCTATGAGGTGCTATTTTTATCTGAATTTCACAGAAGGGGAAACTGAGGCCCAGTTTACTCAGCAAGTAAGTGGCAGAACAAGAATGTGATCACAGGCAATTTGGCTCCAGTCTTGACTTGTAACTACCATTCTATAAGACTTCTCATATGAGAGTCCTTCCATTTCCAAGGGTAAATTATTATAGACCCACAACATTGTAGTTTATAACCTGTCAGTCTGACCTGAGGAAACAGTCTGACCTGTGGAAACATGAGGGTAGGAAAGTAAAATTCAGTATGTATTGAAACATACGTAATTGTTTTTAAAAGAATAGAAAAGATTTTTAAATGTTGAAACTGCAGATAAAACTTACTCTTGGATGTATTTTTCTGTGATTTTTATTTTTGGGTTTTCTGAATACTAATAGTCCCTTAGTTCTTTTTATCATACTAGTCTGTAACAGACAAACTATTCCAGAAAAAGATCTCAATCATAACTCATTTAGCTATTATTGATGAAAATAACACAAATAGATGTCTGGATATATTTTATATTGGTTTATAAAAATTCACATGGAAAAAGTTCATAGTTACTTTTAACAGCAGAGGGTATCATATTAGCTATAACACATAAACAATAATTTTTCATCTAAAATGAAATTCTCTGACTTTGTACCATTTCTGTGAGTTATAAAACTGGAGAAAAATTTACTAAATTGCTAGGTAAAAATAAACTTAAACCAGTAATAAAAGTTATTTTCTTAGAGGTTTAAAAGTCTATTTTAATTATGGAGAGTTGAAGACTATCATATTAGAACCCATTTTTCTATCTTGGTTACCCTTACAGATCTGAGTCACTACAGTGAAGCTGAATTAATTAGGACCATCCACAAGAAACAACTATGAGCTATCTAAAGCCTGAACAACAAAACCAAATTACCTTCTGTCCTACAACCTGAATAGAGCCTACTGGGAAATACTGTAGGGAATAAAATAACTACAAACTACTAATAACATAAAGATGGATGATAACTACAATTCTTTCAATGAATTAAGGATTTTGTTTTGTTCTTCTTTTATATTTTGCCTCACATTATTCAAGAGATACTATGCTTGTTTGTAAAGAACAGAAGAAAATAGAGTACAAATAAAATACATTTAACAAATATATCAGAGTATAGTAGACAGAGTATAAAACCACAAATGATTTATTCTTTCAAATTAGAAAAATATTAGATTTGGCAGAGGTGGATGTAGTAACATATCTAGAGGGTAAAAATATAATATTAGTAAACTTCAACATATAATTAGCCTTTTCAAGAAATCATTTTATAAAAATTCACATGTTCATATAAAATAAATGGAAAAAAATACAAATCTAACTTCAGAGACAAAACTGAAATAGTTTTTATTTCTAGAACCAGGATTTTTTACTTTTTATGCTGAGAAAAATCATTAGTTTTGTTTTTATTGCTGTTGTACTTGTCTTGTTTATGTTTGGAAAAGAAAGAATGATGAAGTGTAAGAGAAACATTAAAAACAAAGTCACTTGTTTTTACCATAGTTTTCTATATCATATAATTAAAACTCATGTAAGAGATAAGGTATACAGAGTGAAAATGTATATACACTTTTTAACTTCATGCATCAACATAAAAGTTTGGTTCTCACTTTATGTAGTACCATTTCCTTCAAAGAGAAGTGCTGACTTTTCATCACTATAGATGTGTATATTTATTTATTGGGGCTAAAATGAGAACATTATAAAGTACTATTGTCTGAAGAAAACGCTACTGCAAAAAATGAAAATCAAGTTTCCACTACAGAATAACATCCTAAATGTTAAGTTTTGCTTCCAGTTTTTATTTTAAAATTTTTCCTGAGGTTGCAAAAGTATTAGAATCAGTAAATGAGCAAAATAATTCTGATAGTCTTCTATTAGATCATATGCAAAAGCCACATTTAATATTTTTAGCAAATACAGTCCAAACTTAATAATTTATTAGTCAACTATATGAAAAATATAAAGATAAGCTTTTGTTTAATTTTTAAATAATCCCATAAGGCCTTGTATTAGTAAAAGGGTGGAAATATTAAAGAAAATAACATTTATCACCTAAATGAAGCTCAACTCAGACAAAATGAAAATGTGTTTAATCATTTTAATAAATATACTGTTCAACATTTGTCAAGTTAAAGTACAGTATGGATCTGAATTACATAAAATATTTAAGATGATTTCCTTAAATGTGCCAAAAATGACTACATTTTTGAAGAATGACCTATAAATATTCAGATATTCAGTCCTAGAACAATCATCAAATCAAACTAAGATATATTTCTAATTGCAAAGTCTGCCACTTCAGCAAAGAAAATGCTAGTTTAAATTCTAAGAAAATACCATTCCTGAGTTGTAAAACAGCATTAAAATTATCACAAATACCAATTTTCAGTTACTTTTAGATCGCTAAAAATGCTTTTCATCAAAAGTTTAAAATTGTTTACATAGTAAAGCATGTCTGAAATAAAAAACAAAATGCATTCACTTTTAAAGATATACCTTTGCTCAGTAAGTTATATTTACACATTCATTTTTTACATATATGATATTCTTAACTTTTATACCAAGAATCCTAGGAAGAAACAATAAGGGAGATTATAAACATCAACTCAATAAATAACCCTCAGAGCTCCATAAAGTCACTGTAATTTTAAGGGGAAAATTCAAAACTCTAGTCTACCATCTGAATATATTTTTGTTATTTAAAGTTAAAAATGCATATAAATTTTCAGGAATAACTGATATATCTTTCTCAGGTTATTTGGAATCTGATCATGGTCCACATATGTGAATGAACGAATACATCCTTAACCCATCATTATCTTTTTCTCCAATGTGCAGGCAATTACCCGTGAAAAGTATGGTGTAGATGACAGGATGATACTGTACCTGATTAGCTCTGGAGGTGGTCATGGGATCAGATGGAGAGGACTTGGTGGTAGTTGGGGAAGATGGCAATGTCTGGGAACAAAGCAGTTCAGGAGCAAATCAACCTTTATAAGCCTTAAACTGATTATTTAAATAAAACAAAATAAAATAAAATGTAATATAACGAGAACAAAATCCTATGAACAAATTTTTCTCCTATTCATACAAATTTAATGGAATTTAAGACCAATTAAGTAACTAATGCATGTAAATATGCATGCATAAGCATGTAAAAATAAATTCATGACTTGAAATCATGATGGTGACTGATAAAAATTCACATGAGTATTAAAGGTATCCTGACCATATTCATGAATAGTAGTCTCTTTTCTTTCCCTCTTGTTTTCTTGGGGGAAAAGGAATGTCAAACAAAAATTCAATTATTAAAAACTGAAAGAGTCATTTTCCTATCAATGAATACAGTCGGGGATTGGAAGAAGTGGTGAAATGAAGTTTACTTTGGCATAAAAGTATCCACCTACTTAATATGTTGAACATCACCAACAAGTTGATTCCACATGAATTTAGGGATCCATACTTAAAAGCAATTAAATTTGCAGTTCTGAGTTCTTAATATCACATTATCTTCTAAAATATTAATTTTAAATAAATTTAGAGCCCGTCTGAAAATGTAAACATTAACCTCATATTAATAAACAAGTAACAGCATTTTAACAAATTGCCATAACATTTTTGTCATTTATGCTAAACACTAAAATTTTACTAAAGAAGAAGGGTATAATATATTGTAGTATCATCAGCCTGTGTTGAAAATAAGCACAATAATATTAGGAATCATATTTATTGTTCATTTCTAAACACACATACATACTATATATAAAATACATTTTATGAGACCATAATATATTTGTTGAATAATTCATTAAGATATTTTAAAACCTTCTCATTCTAATAGAGTAACCTTAAAGTCTAAGATGTTAAGATTTTCTCTTTTTAAAAAAGTATATTTTCACTCAGCAAATAACATGGCTTAAGTAGCACCCTCAATAGATAATATTTCTTAATAGGTGAAATGGGGTAGTTTTATAATATAGACACAATTCTATACGGACATTATGTTTTATATAAATATATATCCATCAAAATTACTCAGAAATGAGCAAAAGCATAACTTTAAAGGTTCAGCACTGTCAGGAAAAGTAGATGAAATTACTTAATAAAGTCATATTCATGCATTTAAGATTTCAAAAGTTCTAATTTGGGTAGAATAAACGATATAGGAGTAAAAGAATGAATAGGAAACTCACAGGCTCCTGCTTAACTCACTGTTCTCCAGTAACAAAGTAAGATTGGTTCTAACACCAGATCATGTTTTAAATAGTCCACTCCTTAAGCGATTCCCTTAGGTTAAAAACCTAGATACTTTGAGGAAACCTAAACTTAATATTGAGTCATACCAAGATTTCTGTTAAATCACATTTTAAAAGGGGATAGGAGCTATATTTAGAAGTAAAACCTCATAAAAGAAGAAAAAAGTCTTCAAATCCTTTGTTTTCTGTTTTTTCTCTGTTAATAAATTCCTGTTATTTCTCCAGAGATACTTTCACTTTCAGTCATTAAAAATTGCCCTAATATTTTCTTTTCCACGCAATACTGTGCTGGGACATATGTTATTGACTTCATGCTACGATATGTACTATAAACTGAACAGTAAAGGTTTTATTTTCCAACCTCTGGTTATGACTGTTATTGCAGAGAATTCTTGGAAGTAGTTAACATACATTTAAAAGTTTCTTCTTTACTAATCTCAGATTAACTATGAGGTTGCTAACTAATTAGATGTGAAATAAATCTAGAGGCCATGTTTCCCAATATAGGTTAGAATCCAAGTTCATTAACCCACAGAAGCACCAGGTATGTGTTTTGGGCTCTTCTACTTCCATCAGGGTAAAATTAACCTGAAGTACCACAGTTTCACTATGACAAGCACCTTGCCCTGGATATGAACTCTCAACAAAGTCTTGAAATATCGCAAAGAACTATGTGGAAAAGGTAGTAATATCAAGTGGCTCAGAATTTGTGGTCACTTAGATTAATATTATCTTCTGTCAATTTATTCAATACCTTTATTTTTGACATACATATGAAATATTAGGCATGTATTATTAATAATTGATACAACTCATATTAATCAACACTGTCAATAATTCTGATGGTGTTTCTTTCCCACAGAAATAAAAACAATAACTTTAAACTGCTGGGACAATTTCAATGTGTTTAAAATCATTAAAGATTTGGTTACTAAACATTATAACCTGATAAGAAGTTAGAGTATAATATTTTAAATAAACAGATAAATATTATATAAGTTTGGGCTTCAAGGGATAAGACTGCTGAAATGGCACAGTAAATTGTCTCTAAATAAATTTTCTTGGGTAAATTCCTAATATAATAATAAATGTGTGATGAAATAAACATACGATGAGTTTTCTAGCTATCTATTGTTCATACAGATACTTTTAAACAGCAAGTTTGCATTTCAGTTGATTTTTTAAGTTCTAGTTGCAAAAAAACTGTTCTAATAAACAGATAAATGTAACTATATTAAACTAATGCCTTTAATTTAAAAGGTTCTATTAATTAGATTAATAAAACAGCTTTGATAGTTGTTCTCAACTAGACAGAACAGAAAAATCCATAAGAAATATTTGAATGTACAATATAAATGTATGATGTTTGTTTCCTTAATATTTTACAAAGAAAATGTTTACTCCTATCTACTACACAGACTTAAAGTCTAGTGGTTTCAAGTTAAAAATCATTTAGTAAAATTTCTGACATACATCATGAAGATGTAACTAACTGAATATCCATATAGCAACAATATATTAAAATATCTGTTATAAATAACATTTGCAAAGGACACACTCCTCTAAATACTAATGTTTTATATTTATTGCGCAGTCATTATGAAAGGCATGGTCACTTTATAGCACAATTTTATCTTTCAAATGGAAAAGTATAATACATTTTTATTTACATGAATTGAATGGCTGTTTAAGGATTCTGCTTTAAACACTGAAGGCTGAATTACTTATTGCAGAAAAATCTGAAGTATTTTAATTTTAAAATTGTGGATCCTTTGGAATATAAAATAGTTTTTAAAAGTTCAAGACTTAATATGCATTTAGTTAAATGTAGATATAACTAGGCTTTGGGGAATAAGAACTAAAAAGGGATTACAAATTACAAAAAAAGCATTCTTGTTAACAGCTGACAGTTTTCCTGGACCAGAGAATATTACTATAAATAAACTCTATAATAAATACAGCTTACCTTCAAGCAAATCTACAGTAACAGACTGTCAAGAATCTCTGATATTTATAGGCACAGTAAGAACAGCAACGAATAACAATCTCAATTCTAATTTGGAATCTATCACTAGCTAACTGAGTAACATTACTCAAGTAATCACCTTCGCAAACCTCTGTTTTGAGTTTTGTTAAATAAATCTGCATACTGCTCTATAAAAAATAATGGATAAAATATTTAAATATACAATTGTCACCTCTGGTTTTTTCATCCTGACAAGTATACTCTCCTTCTTCCAATGTCTGAACTACCTGGAACCACTTAGGTCCTAATTCAAACTCATGTTGTCCAATTTCAACAGGTCTTTCACAATTTATTCTTATTCCAAAGCTTATTTACACCTTTATCGTTCTCTTCAAACATTCAATACCATGTATTTTATCTTCCTTTCAACTGATAGTCTTTATTACCTGAAAGAAATCATGGTTTTTCCAGAATGAGCTTCCTTATCTACAATTGACTTCATCTCAACTTTTTCAGTTTTCCAAACCACTTATTTTCCATCTTCTCATTCTTTTCACTGTAGACAAAATTGTAATCTCCTACTCAAACCTCCTACTCTTTATAGGCTAGGACCTTAACGCCCTAAATTGTATCTTTCCACTACTTCTGAGTCATTTGTTCCCTCGGTAATCTCACCTGTATTTGGCATCTCCAATTTCTCTGCCTTTTCAAGCTCCTTTTTATTCTTTAACATAAGCCATTCCCTCTTGAGTAGCAAGGGTCATGTGAGCCTCCCTGATCTAACTTGTATTTTTCTCCTTTGTATATCCAAACTTTCAAATCAGCAGTTTCCACACTTCACACCATTTTTTTCTGTTTACTTAACTAGCTTCTTCACCTTTAGGAAATAATATTATTAGGAAATAATGACTTTGCTTTCACTATGTGACTGAAACTAACTTTAAAAATCTCCAATGACTCCCTATTTTAAAAAAATGTTACTTATTCTCATATTTTTCTCTGGGTATTTGATCCTTTTTAGCATCTTTCCTTGTGCTTTCTCTCCTTATTTTCTCACAAAGAATATTACTGGTTTCCTTTTTATCTTTATAATTACTAAAGAGCACTTCCTAGGAACCAGGTGTAGTTCTACTCAGTTAATACTCACAGTATCCTTATGAAATAGATACTGTTACTATCCCCATGTCATAGATAAAGAAGTTGAGGGACAGAGAAGCAAAACAACTTGCCCAATGGTACAGAGCTGGTCAGTTAAAGAGCCAGGGTTTGAATCCTGGCAGTCCTGCTCCAGATCCTATGCACTTAACCACTTACTGTAACGCCTCTGACTTACTTTTTCTGATAACTGTTTCTTTATCTTTTTTTTTTTTTTTTAATTTTTTGTTTATTGCAGTAACATTGGTTTATAACACTGTAAAAATTTCAGGTGTACATCATTGTACTTCTTTATCTTTTTAATTTGCTTCTTTTTTTTTTCTCCTATTAATGAAGATGTAAGTAAAATTATCACCTCTATTGCAACCAAGGATCTATATTTTCAGTTTTAGATTCTCACCTATGCTTCTATCAAAGACCACTTCAAGGAAAAAACATTCAACTTGCCTGAAACAAACAAAAAATATTATCTCAAATAGGCGCCTGACTAAAATTCACTTGTTGCTTTCAGGATTCACCATTCTGCTAGGCTCAAAATCATATACAGTCATTTTTTATTGTTTCCTTACTATTTTGGATCT